AGCAATCCGTTACTGGTATTTCCACGATGGTATTACCGCCTTGTATTTTTGAATAAGTATAATTTATAACTTATATTATTCGTTACATCAGTGTGATTGAGAGATAAATTATTAATATTGTAAATTCTGAAAGAAAATGCATTTTTGTTAGATATATATTTATTTAATATCATTTTATAAAATATTTTGCATGTTATAAATAAATATTTTATAAAATTTTTAGATTGTTCACAAAATATTGTTACGAAGAATATTTTGCAAAACAGTGCCAGAGCACACTTTAAAAAATCATACTTTGACATACAAATAAGTTCATTTAGACAAGATTATTTCCGTTATGCTTTAGATGAATTTAGTTCAAATAACTCTTCAACAACATACGTCCCTTTTGTTAAAAGAACATTTTAATCAATTTTTGTTGAAGCGTTTTGTAAAAATATTTAATATAAAGATTGTGCAGTTTGCAAGTTATGTCTATATATGCGCATGCTAAATATTTTGTAAAAATGCAATAATGGACAATTTGATTTGACTTACGGATTTCGCTTCAATATGCTAAAATTCAAAAATTCATTCTTGTCTTTATAAATCCCTGAAAGTTGAATTTTATAAAACTTTTTGGAACCGGAAGATAAATGTTCACGGGTTAGAGTTATGCCGAGACTATCAAGCTGTACAGGACCTGTTACTATATATAAAATACAAATAATAAATGTAAATAATGTATACAAAGATGACTTGGAGATCGTAATGAGTAATACTGTTGCATCCAAATTCGCAAATTTTTGCAATAATTTTTATGTAGCTTCGATATTCAGCGACATTATACAGATGTATCATTTTATGAGGAACTATCATAAGTCATGCTTTAAGTCATAATCCATCAATAGTATATGTGATTATTAAGTTTGACATATAATTTAAATATGTAAATAGAATATTTGTAACGCATCTTGTACTTTTTAATTTTCCTTTAAACTCACCAGTCTGCACGAGCTCATTATTGTCGTTACTCATCCTTGCTTTAGTCTTACGCAGATAAAGTTCAATAATTAAACTATTATTCTATATTCCGTTTTTAGAATCGTAATAATGGAGTAATTTGATGATGTGACGACTAAATGCACGTTCTAACACTTGTATGAATCTAATGTTATTTGCAAATTTCACCGAAATCGTAAATTGCAACTTTCGCGACACGAAGCACAATATTCTAATGTTCTCGCGGTAAATAGACGGTACATATATGTATAAGTGTAAATATTTTATTTACGATTGGAAATGAAAACAAACTAACTATCGAACTCTGTGAAAAATTTGTAATTTCAACTGAAGAGATCAAACATAATTCAACAAAAAAAATTGACATAGAAATAAGTATTTTTTATTACGTAAAGAAAATGTAAAACACTGTTGTAGTGATAAAAGCAAGTTTGTTTTCTTTAAATGGAATAAAGTATGTGCGTTATCCTAAAAATGAAAGAAACATTATTCACAAGTATCCACTATTAAACATGGTAGCTCAGTAAACGAGAAAGTATTGTTTAAAAGTTGTTTGAAAGTTTAGAAATAGAATTGAAAATTAATGAAAAAAAATAGAATAAAATTCAGCATTATCGTAAATGAATTCTTTTCTGTAATTTTCAATCCCATTTCTAAACTTTCAATACTTTCTTATTTACTGAGAAAAAAAACATTATTATATGAGGATGTTTTCTGTCGCATATTTTGTTAAAAAATTATATAATTATCGTCTTTTGTTTTAAAATGTTTAAGTTATTGATGAATATTTTATTCATTTTTTTTTAACGGATGTAACGGATCGGAAAAATCAATCTTTTTTTTTTTGCATGAATACTTATAATTATATTATAAGTTATATGAAATAATACCTTTGTCAAAATGAGCGCTACTGTAAATATGATAATATTTAAATTTTATTTTCCAAATATATTGCTAATAATTCATGCAAAAAAAAGGATTGATTTTTCCGATCCGTTACATCAGAATTCCTCCTTAAATTACTAATCTAATGTACATTCACTTGTCGCATTCGGTTAGTTTTTTTTGCTGACGTTCCATTTGCTCTGATATTCTTCGTTTCTCTTTACTCGTGTTATTTCTATAAATTTTATTTAGTCAGTGTGTAAAATTAAAGTATAATTTATATGCAATTTTCTTGAGAGTTTAAAGTTTCAATAAATTTGTTACGTACTTAAATCTCTAATCAAATTATTGTAAAGGATGTTGCTATCCATCTACATAAAAGTATTATTATATATGTTATACATTGCTCTGGCATGAATCACATCGCAGACTAAATTGATATAACAAAATGTGGTATAAATTATTATATATTATTATATTATTATTATTATTACATATCATTATATTATCAGCGATTGATCGCTGATCTCAAACGTTCTTTCAATCGCTCTTAATCTCTTCATCTCGTTTTTAATCTTTTCATGTATAATTATAATTTAAAAAATAAATAATTATTGCATTAAATACGCATAAACAAATTGTGGAAATTTATCTTACAATCGTATAATTGTCTAAGCTGCATCTTAATAAAAAAATAAAACAATTTCCTGAAAAATAGATATAATAATTATTAAAAAATACAAAAAAAGAATTCACGAAAAATGTTTTTGAAAGCAAAGGACAAATAAAAATAGATAAAATTTATCATTGTTTTAAAATTTTGTAATCTATTCTTTATTATCGATGTCTCATTCGATAATTAAACAATACTTTTCAATTTTACCGCGGATGTTGCATTAATGATGATAAATCAATTATGATACAAATCGGAAACGATTTCCAGGTGCTCTTTTATGACATGAGAAAGACATTGCTTTCGGAAATATTTTATCGCATAGATCAAGCATGCTTTACTCATTGTTGCGACGATATCGTGCTTGCGTTTTAACAACAAACAAGTTAATTAACACCACAGCGTATCTGTAGTATTCTGCAAACTGAGCAACGTCGTTCACATTTTCGTGTACATGTATGGTACTTATGATCCCAATGCAAAATTCGATTTTTATATCTATGTGCGCAATTTGGACAAGAATTGAATGCTGAGTACTTATTTGAAAGAAAAATACATTATTCTAAAATTGTTGCATATTATAAACGAATATAGTTATAGTACTTAATAGCTACGGCATAAACTGTTTACAATTTTTAGAAAAAAAAACAATATCGCATATAGAAAAGTTGTTGTGCACTTTTCATTCATGTTTCTATGTTTTGTAAAAAAAAAATAAATTTTTATATAAATCGATTATTGACCACGGCTTAGCCAATTCTTAGGATTTTCCTCCATCAGTTGTGTGATATCCTGATCGGTGAAACCATTTTCTTCCATATACGGTACTACAAATTCAAGGATATGACCATATCCATGACCGCCATACATTGCCTTAAAAATGAATAAAATAATTTTATTTTGTTTATTTATAAAATTACTTTAACTTTACAAATATATTAATAAATTTTGTTTTAACGATTAAATAGTTTATGTTCTACGTTTTTATTGGTATATAATATTGATGTAAATTAAAGATACGTGTATACCAATAAGATATCACCCGTACAGAATTTGATGATCCTGCAATGTTGAGACAACGTCCAAATGTTCATAGAAAGTAATGTTAAGAAGTCAATGTTTTGTGTACTTTATGTATAATCCGAACATTTAAATGTTATATGGAAGTTATACAACGTGTTTCAACGTTGAGCAAACGTTTATATAACGTTGTGTAAACTTTTTGTTTTATACGGATAATTAAATAAAAGCAAAATCAAACAATACTGTTCAAAAACGAGAATGGTTAATTAAACTTATGATGTAATATCAAATAAATGAATTAAAAGATTATCAACTTAAAAAACGTACCAGTCTGTCATTGGTATGAATATCGTGACTCATTAAAACCTGATCCAATTTCGATTCTTTTTTGAATTTTGCAATAAATTCGACACGCTCTGCATCTGACAGTACATCAACAGTCGGATCGTGTTGATAGAAAGAACACTCGGTACCAAACATAGAGAATTGTATGTAACATTTATTATCATCTGCGAATTCCATGAGTTGTTCCTCGTTGGTCAAAGTACCTATTAAGATAATTTTATTAGTTTGTTGCAATAATAGTGTATAGACTAAATAAAAATTACAGTATTCAAAAAATATATTATGAGATCGCATGTAAAATATTTTACAATATTATTTTAATTTAAAAATTTGTTTTAAGAAATGTATATTTGTAACGCGTGTCTTTAGCGTAAAAAAGATTAAGATGTACAAAAAATTTAAGGCGCAAACAATTCGTTTCTTAACTAAACTTATTTTTCGAGTTTATTATTATTAACTTATTTATCGAAACTTAATATACGAGTTTAATTAAATTTTAATTAAACTTGTATTTTAACTCATATTAAATAATTTTAGGTAATGTCTAAAATGTTTCAATAGTTACACCAAACATTTTTTGAGATCAGAAAAAGTACATATATTAAAACTAACGGCAATAATGACTATCTTAATTAAGATAAATTATTTCAATATCTTTCGATTTTGATTTTATTTGACACATATATGTTGCAAGCATTATTAACTATATTAATAAAAAAAAAATTTGTGGATCTCTTACGATCAACGTGACACATAATGGCTTTGCGAGCGTTCCCTCCGGCCTCTTGATAGATTCGCATTATCTCCATAGGTGCAGATGCATTCGATCCAGGACTAAAGCTAACAGGACAATGCAATTTTTCTTGCACTTCGCCAGTTGTAGAAATAGAACGTTTTTCAAAGGCTACAAGTTTACGAATATAATATAAATACTCTTCAACATACCACCTTAAGTTAAAAATTATAATTAAAAAATTTATTTTATTTGTAAATGCATTATTATTTGAATATAATTTTGTGAGCAACAATAAATAAAAATAAAAAAATGTATCTTAGAAAATAACTTTTTGATTAAGTTTATAATTGGTTAGTAGATAGTATTTAATTTATTAATAATTAAAATACTTTTAAAATTATAAATTTTGTTTAATATGCACCCTTATTGTAATGTATCCTTTCTTTTTTTTAATCAAATAAAATATACATGTATTTTAATTCAATGTTGAAAATGCGAAAGAATACCTCATCATGTTTTAATTGTAATATCATAAAAAATTATATTAATTATCTTATAAAACGATTAACTGCTTGTATGGATTATCGACAGTTTAACAGATTAAAATATGCAAGCAATGTACCATGAATTGGCCAAGAACTGCCCACTTCGCCGATAAATCCTGCTTTTATTTTGGAACTTAAATAATGTTCACGATTTACAATACCTTTTTCTAATTCCGTACACATAACATAATACATACTTTCTTTGGACATATTTAAGGTTGATGCAAGTTGCGTCTGAGCAACATAATATCCTGTTCAAATTAAAAAAGTGTAATAAAATAACAATAATAATAATTTAAAAAAAAAATTGTTGATTACGATAATACTCGAAAACACAATTAAGGCATTGCAAACCAAAACGAGCTAAGTGTCAAAATTTTTAAAATTAAGTTTAATTAAATTAAATTTGTATTTAAAGTACTCTACTCGCAAAAGGCTTAAAGTACTTAACAATTACTCAGTTAGTAATAACATTCGTACAACCCTACCTGTTCCAATAATTATGTTAATTTTCTGTTTTAAGGACACATTTGTGTATTCGTCCCATTTGTTAAAACATCTCAAACCATGATTGCTATTTTCCACAATTGTTTGCCCATCAAGTCCTGTGAACTCAAATATTTCGTTTGGACAAATTGTTTCTTTCTCATCAATAAGTTTCAAATTTTTCATATTACTATACCTGAATCAAAATATTGTACGTATTAAATATTTATATTTCATAATTTGTTTTAATAATTTTATTTTAATAATTGTGCTGCTTGATTGTTCAGCGCATGTTTGGAGAATAAACATATATAAAGAAATATTTTTCAGAGATATCAAAGATATTTAGTTTGACTTACGGATATAGATTAAGATAGCCGCTACCTTTCATTGTAATTGTTGTATGATCTCTCGAAAGCTTATGCGAATACGGAGCACGCTTAAAACAATTGGTAAAGTAGCTAAAAAGATGCTCGTGCGTTAATGTAATACCGAGATCATCCAGCAGTACAGGTCCTGTTACTACACAAAATGTAAATAATGTAAAAAATGTATATAGAAAAATTCTCGAAAGACTACATTGAGATATTTGAAACTGTAATTACATAGTAAAATAATTGTAGTGAAATAATTATGACGATGGCAATGTTGAATTAACTATAATTTGCATAGTTGAAAGATATTCATAAAAATATAATTGGTGTCGAAACGAGACAAATGGTTACTGTAACTATTTGTTTTTTCAATATAATAGAAAAAATCAGTATTGAATAAGAATATAGTTTTTGATTGAGATGAACAAATTTAAAATTTAATAAAAACTATTATAAACCGCCCACTTATATCTATGAATCGTTATCTATCTATAAATTGCAGGTTATTTATTACAATTTCGAAGCTGTCTCGTCGAATAAATAAAACAAAATTTTAAGACTTTTTTTAAAATAGAAATATAATTTTTGTACGTCCTGTATCAGTTCCTTGTATGAACATAAACTTTCATATGTAACAAAACTTGTAAAAAATGTATGAATTAAACGTATTATTTATTATATACTTTTTTCATGCTTTAATTGTCTTTAGATTTACCTGTTTCCACAAATTTATCATTTTCCACAATTTCCATTATTTTCACACTACTTAGAGACAAAGCCTTTTCAATAATTTAATTTATATTTTATATAGTACGTGTTGAATTATAATAATACCACTAAATATATGTTTAAAATTTAGTAAGTATTAAAATTTTAGTATGTATTAAAATTTAGTAAGATAAATATGTGATAATATGTGATAAATATGTTTCATTTATTATAAATAGCACAGAAGTGTAAAATATATCTGATGCCGAGAAGCCGTTTTGAACTGCTGTGGCATTATACTAGAACACTTTCTAACTGACGATACTTCTTGTGAAGTTTGTAACGTGTACACATAGTCCATATTAACGGTATAAATAAATATTGACATTTATTTGAGTGGCGACAAATATTAATGTTCGACCGAGTCTTTTTATCTGAGTAAATCTTTTTAAGAACGATTTTAATGCTTTTGCACATTTTTTATATTGCAAATAAACGCAATAAACAAAACAGAAGTAAAATAAACAATAATAATGCTTGAAATATTTATTATATTGTTTTATACATCGTGCTTTACATAAGAAAAATAATATGTAAATTTTCTTGTGTTCAAATTATTGTTCCCAGCTTAGCCATCTCTTAGGATTTTCAGTGGTTAATATCGTTGTATCGTTAATTGTAAAATTCCTTTTTAACATATGTGGCACAAAGTTTTTCAAAATATGAGCGTATCCGAGACCGCCATAAGTGACCTTAAACATCAGTAGAATATTTTTAAGAGTTAATTGCTCAGATTACTTATAACTGATATTATGATCGTTTAAAATTAAATTATAATTTATATATGAAAAACTTTTTGTTTAACTGCCTAAATTAAAAATAGAATAATAAGAAAAATAAATAACGTATTAAAAAATAAAAATAATAACAATAAATTAAATATATTTTGTAAAATTATAAAAAAAAAGAGATGTACGTACCAATCTATCCTTAGTGTGAATATCATGACTTATGAGAATTCGATGTAAGTTTCCCTCATCCTTTAGTTTTGCCAGACGTTTCATACGTTGTGCGTCTGATAATATCTTGTAATATTTATTTCTCATTTGAATGAAAGAATGCTGAGTACCAAACAGATCAAATTGTACGTAAGTGTGTTTAGTGTCGTCCATGAATTCCATAAATTTGTCCTCGTACCACAACGTGCCTATTAAATTTATATCATTAAGGTATGACATTTTCGATACGCAACTTAGTTGAACGTAAGAAAATGCATAGCACTTACGATCAATATTGGATATGGCCGCTTTTTTAGAATCACCACCGGCCTCTTGATAGAGCCTAATTACTTCCCTAAGTGCTTCTTCCTCAACGCCGGGATTCAAATTCACAGGACAATGCAGTTGCGCTTGTATTTCGCCAGTGGCACGAATAGAACGTTTTTCAAACTCTAACAGTAAATTTAAAATAATGTAATATAACTGCTAAATGTTTTATTTAACGTAATAAATAAATATTAGTTATACAATTTTATTTCTAATTTTATCATTATTAGAACATACTTCTGGACGTAATCATATAAAACAGAAATTTTTTAAAATATTGCGGGAAATATAATTTCTATTAGATTTCTTATAAATTGATTAATATTTACGATATTTTGCAACACAATTGTGCTCTTATAAATTGAAACATCTATTGTTTCAATTGCAATTGGTTACATATTGTTTATTCTGTCTCTTTTTATTAACATCTAAATATTTTATTGCATTAAAATAATAGAAAAGTATTAAAAAGTATACTAAAATAAATAAACTTGCAGCGTTATTTATATTTTTTTGGCTTGCACTGTTTTATGAGCTGCTTATTTTCCAGGGAGAACAATAGATCTAATAGACGGCTAATAGACGTCTATAAACGTCTATAGACGTCTATTAGATGTCTATTAGACGTTTCTTAGACCTGTTGTTCTCCCTGGGTTACTGCAATATCGGAAATAATAGTAAAATATATTTAACAATTTAGCAAATTGGTATGTAATTATATACCATGGATTGGCCAATTGCTGCCTACTTCTCCGATAAATCCTGCTTTTATTTTTGGATTATTGTTAGAATCGCCATTTTTAAAGGATTCTTCTCCTTCTATCTCGTTAGTTAGATCATTTAATAATTTATTATATATTTCTTCGTGCGTAAAATTGAGGTTTAAGTCATTCTGCACGCTAGCAGTATAATATCCTGTCAAGTTATAAAATAAAGTTACTTCAATTCTTGTGTAATGAAATTTACTTAACATTTATTTAACGTTATTATTTTTCTATTATTAATGTATCATATTATTAACGTTATATTTATATAAATATTGTAGTTGTATTATAATTATATTAAGTAATTTATTTATAATTTAATTTGTAAAAAATAAAAGTATCTTATTGGTTAATAAAAATATTCATTATAACATAAATATTAAATATAAAATAAAAGTAAAAGCTCAAATTTATACGTGTATAATGTAAATACACACACCGTATACTCGTATATATTGTATAAGCACATACCTGTTCCTGCAATTATATTAATTTCGCATTGCATACTATAAACTTGCAATTTTTTTAAATCGCGACGCAAACCGTTACTACTATTTTCCACGATGGTTTTACCGCCTGCATTTTTGAATAAGGATAATTCATAGAACATAGTTTCTATTATATCAGGGTCATTGAAACGTAAATTAATGAATTTGCTATATCTGAAAAAAAAATGCATTTTATTAGATATATATTTATTTAATAATATTTTATGAAGTATTTTGCATGTTATAAATAAATATTTTATAAAATTTTTAAATTGTTTACAAGATATTGTTACGAAGAATATTTTGCAAAACAGTGCCAGAACACACTTTAAAAGATCATACTTTAACATACAAATAACTTCATTTAAACAAGATTATTTCCGTTATGCTTTAGATGAATTTAGTTCAAATAACTTTTCAACAACATACGTCCCTTTGGTTAAAAGAACATTTTAATTAATTTTTGTTAAAGCGTTTCGTAGAAATATTTTATGTAAAGATTGTACAGTTTGCAAGTTATGCCTATATATGCGCATGCTAAATATTTTGTAGAATTGCAGTAATGGATAATTTGATTTGACTTACGGATTTCGCTTTAATAAGGAAATAGTGCTAAAATTCATGTTTTCCTCGATTGGATCAATCTCATGAATTCGTTCTTCGTAGAGCTTCTGGAAGTCGCAGGATAGATGTTCATGCGTTAGTGTTATGCCGAGACTATCAAGCTGTACAGGACCTGTTACTATATATAAGATACAAATAATAAATGTAAATAATGTATACAAAGATGACTTGGAGATCGTAATGAGTAATACTGTTGCATCCAAATTCGTGAGATTTTTGCAATAATTTTTATGTAGCTTTGATATTCAGCGACATTATACAGATGTAACATTTTATGAGAAACTATCATAAGTCATGCTTTAAGTCATGATCCATCAATAGTATTTGTGATTATAAAGTTTGACACAATATTTAAGTTTGTAAATAGAATATTTTTGCCGCATCTTGTACTTTTTAATTTTCCTTTAAACTCACCAGTCTGCACGAGCTCATTGTTGTCGTTACTCATCCTTGCTTTAGTCTCACGCAGAAAGAGTTCAATAATTTAATTATTATTCTATATTCCGTTTTTAGAATGGTAAAAATGCAATAATTTTACGATGTGACGACTAAATGCACGTTCTAACACTTGTATGAATCTAATGTTATTTGCAAATTTCACGGAAATCGTAAATTACGACTATCGCGACACGAAGCACAATATTCTAGTGTTCTCGCGGTAAATAGATGGTAGGTGTATGTATACATGCAAATATTGTATTTACAACTGAAAATGAAAGTAACTAGCTATCGAACTCTGTGAGGAATTTATAATTCCAACAGAAGAGATCAAGTATAATTTAACTTCAAAAAAATTCACAAAGAAATAAATATTTTTTATTAATGAAGAAATGTAAAACTGTTGTAGTGACGAGAGCAAGTTTGTTTTCTTTAAATGGAATAAAGTATGTGCGTTGTCTTAAAAAAAGGAAAGAAACAATATTCGCATGTATCCGCTGTTGAACATGGTAGAAGAAACATTATGATATGGGAATGTTTTCTATCGCATATTCTTATAAAAAAATATATAATTATCGTTTTTTGTTATAAAATGTGTATGTTATTGATAAGTATTTTACTCAATTTTTTTTTAAATTTATAATTCCATTATAAGTTATATGAAATAATATCTTTGTCAAAATACTTATGAGCGCTACTGTAAATATAATTATGCTTAAATTTTACATGATACATAAAGTGCATTTTGGGAATAGAAATTAATATAAAGTCAAAAATACTGATTTTATACGCGCAAAATGTGCATTCGACTTGATTTTCATATTCTACTGTTCTATTGCTAATTACTTGATGACTAGAATTTTGAATGTCTTAGATTTAAACACTTTAAAGTTACTACAATTTACTGTCTGATTGTTTGCGTGCAAAAACATTTTGCTGTCTAAGTATCATAGAACATATGTAGATAAATAAAAAAGTATATGTTATAAAAAATCACATGAAGACGATGAAGCATCCATGACTGTATAGCCATAAACTTTTAAATAATAAATACTTCAATGCAATAAGGTGTGCACAATTTGTTGAAATTATTTTTTTAGGTCATAACAGGTTTACGTAATTGTTGCCCCACTTCTGTACAATTTATTCATACAAAATATATGTACATAAAAATAAGTAAACGATCAATACCAGATTCCATATTATACAATGTAACTGAATGAATTATATATATATTTATATTACAGAATTTATATTACAGTTATCATATTTATCACTATGATGTTTCTCAGGTGTTTAGTAAATAACAATCGGCATAATTGCGACAGAAGCAATGAAAACGACGCCGCAATATTTTCCAATGATAAAACAAATACTCATTGGAAAAATATAAAAAAAGTGCATAGCTATCAATTTGATCATTTGAAAATATCGTAAGTATCTCACCCACCATCGCGACTACTCCGATTGTTTATCTCGTTATTTATTCCGTACAGCGCGCACACTTTCCATAACACACATTTAATATCTTCAACAATTCACAGGCATACACAACATCGATGCAGAAATGTAAAATCGTGTACACGTAAAAATATCTTTTTTGGCAGTCATAGTCATTTATATTGTACTGTGGGATTTATCGGAGAATACAGGATACGGAACTCGAGTTTTTCCAAACAATTTAATTAAAACAATTAAATGCATATAAATTCATATCTCTGGAAAATATGAAAGCAAACGTTAATACGTTGTAACAAAACTCAATATCAAAATTATTATACCCATCCCAAAAATCATACTGCAGAAAGTTGAAGAAAAGCAAAACCATTCGTTCGATTAGCAAAATGTGTAAATAAGTACAAAATAATAATGCATCAGATACTAATGCAACTAATTCGAAAAATTTAATTAAAAAATATTATTCATATATTACATATTTATTTCGTAGAACATTTCCTCTTCTCGTCACTTTCAAAACCGGAATCTAAATCGTCGCTTTGACACTTCTTCAATGTACAACCCTTGGAGTTTTGCCTACAAGCTCTTTGCTCAACTAACAATTTCCTAATACTATCTATCAAATGTTCAAAAAAGTTCGGATAACCGTCATATCCGGGAAACACATTGACATCTATTATCGCATACTTCCCGGTATGATTTTCAATTACAACATCTATTCCAACTAGAATAAGTCCGAATATTTCTTGTATATTTTTCACAATTGTTTCGAATATTTCGTTATTCGGCTTGACAGTTAAAGGAATGTCTTCTTCGGATAATATAGACCACTTCGATCTACTCCCACTCTTTGATATATCATGCGAATCGAAAAATATTGTATTCAACAAATTACAGTCTTCTTGGTAAAAGTTTTTCAAACTGGGACGCTCAACCACGTGAAAGTGATCACCCACGACGAATACCTTATATAAAATAGCGTTGTGATTGATGAAGTCCTGGGCGACACATGGTAGTTGACAGTCTTTCAAATCTCTTTCGTTAAAGATGATCATCATCTGAAATTCGACATCAGGTCATTTCTTCCAATCTTGACTTTCTCATTTTGAATCTTTCTACATACATTGTGCAAAAAAATAATACTTACCTTGTGCGCATCACTTGAACCATATGCAATAAGCGGCTTGCAGACAAACGGGTACTTAATACCTCGTTTTTTTAACGTTAATGCTACTTCATGGACATTTCTGCTCTTGATTTCTACAAAGTTAGGAGTAAATATATCTGAAAAGGAACAAATTAATATTAAACGTATAGCTGAATTCATTTCCAGTCAATATTACATAAATAACTTTAAACTGCATACCTTTAAACCGAATACCTTCCTGTATAAATTCATAAGAGTTACATCGATTGCGTAAATTCCTAATATTGTCCAGAGGATCAATAACAATCAGATCTGGATGTTTGGCAATGTATTCTTGGAGTCGTGAAACAATATCCTCAGCCTACAAAAATGCATCACTGAGTCATTGATATTCCCAACAGTGTGAATACTACTGTAAACCATATTTTTCATCACTACTTACATTTTTATCGCCACTTTCTGCATGCGACTGCGTATCCGTCAACTTGTGTAAAAAAACATGTAATGGTCCCTGCTTTTCAAGGCTTGAATTCACATCAATCTACAACAGATCACAGATTTAAGGACATTGAAAATATCTTTCAGTATATTGCAGTAGAAATGTAATGCATTATTTAAAAAGTATACTTTGCAAAAAATGTATATAATAAATAAAGCTCCAGTTTTGACTATGATATAAATTCTATTATTTTTGCACGAGTGTATTTTTATATTATAATTTATGATACATTTTCAAAACAAAATGGACATTAGTGTTATCGAAATATAACCTATCTTACACGACACTCCTTCCAATATTGTGCAAATAAAATTTACGACGGAGAAAGTGTTCTCGAGTGTTTTCGCTTACCATTTTCAACTGAAACCCTTCGGACTCGCACACATTCTCGAAATCGTTCCAGTTGAACTTCTGCCGCTTCCTCTCCGGCACCCAGTAACCGATAACATACTTGTCGCACATTTTCCTTCGTCTCCGTGAACCACGTGCTGTCACACTGAGCGCAGGTCGGTCACGCGTGTCCGAAACGGTCACGATTTCGACGGCCTTCACCCACTATGCGTGACACTATTCAAACGATTCTGCAATAAGTCGATTTCATAGTCGTGCAGCGTGGCGGCAAGGTTATGTTTCGCCGCATTCAAAACAGCTGTCTTTCGCGCGGTCCGATGTCCTACGCGGTAACGGCGACTGCACCCGTGTTTCTCGAGGACGATTCCTCGTCGAGACGACGCCTCCTCGTCGCGACGCCGTGACTGGCGCCGCTTGAAAATATCACTTAATCTCCGTTCACTTTGCACGGATCTACGCGTTGCTAATCTATTGTTTACTTCCCGGCGCGCACACGCTGCACACGGCGCCGGAAGAGTATTTCTTATCGTCGTATGCGTGATATTATGAGCGCGAAGGACGCGGCGCAATGTAAGAATATAGTAAAGTGCTCGTGCGAGCTGCAAACAAGAACTGAGCTAAGCTAAACTAAACTAAAGAAAATTCGTCAAGATAAGCCATCGTCATAAGTGGGGAGCGTTCGCACGGAATAGGAAAGGTACAGTGTTTGTTCGGATGCATGTTTATTGCGGAGGATTTTACGATGGGTTTCTCAAAAATAAAAGATTAGAAAGTTCGGCATGTTTCTCTGAATGGTGCTGTCAATACCCGGGTACCTGAATAGTTACCCGAGTATTCAGGTAGACTGATATTATTCAGGTACCCGATTATTATCTCGGATATTCGAAATATATTTACATACACGTATCGCATTGTAATTACATTGTTAATACAAAATTATTGCATGTAATCGTATTACATGTAAAAAATAACATAAAAATTTATAATTTATATGCGATCATTTTGTATTAACAATTTACAATGAAATACGTGTAATTATTATATTTCGAATATCCGGTTCTAAATAATAGCGCTTTTTTTAAAAGAAGGGATTCACATTTTCTAAAGGAAAGGACAAAAAAAGGTTTCAGTGCAATAAAAAAAGGTAGATTGCACATAACAGTGAATAGAGCTCGCCAAGTGCATTCGTGCCGTTAGACAATTATCTTAAAATAAAACCGGTCAACACGATTTTCTCAAGAAAACTAATTGGTGTCTTTAATGTACATTTTTATGCTGAATTCAAATATGCAATCAGATTTGTTTTATCACCCATAGATTTTCTGTAACAGCTATTTCTGATGTTACAATTTCAGCGTTTTTAGTATTTTTTTATACTAAGTAATGGTCTTTGTTTATAGACAAATAAATAAGGAAATAATGGATAAATAATGTATAAATAATATATAAATATTAAACACTCATTATTATAACAGTAGACATATTCTCATTATACTTTCATTATACTCTCATTTTTTGATCAAACAAGACTGCAAGCTAAAATTCATATTCTCATAAATATGCCACAAAATCGTCGACTGTTAAGTACTTTTTAAATAAAGCAGCATACACTTAGTATTATTATTTAAATACTCAATTTTATCAAACTAGAATCATGTGTTTACTTAATAATTTTGTCTGAGAGAGAAAATATAAAAAACATTTGATTTCAGCATAAAAAGTACTATTAAATTCACCCATTTAAGTTCTTGTGACAGAAATTTATTTTTGTCGACCAGTTTAATATCGTTGTCACGAGGTCGACACGTAATACGTTCAAAGCAAGAGAGAAGTTGTCTTCTCCGTCGAACTTTATCAGATAAATATTTTTAAACTGCGCGAAAGAATATATTTTCTGCGTATACTGTAAATCAGGACTTTGTAACTAGTTAAGAATGTCACAAACAACTTATCAGTTGAACAAGTTGAACTTGTTAGAAAATTGTTCATAACATTCTCGTTGCAAAGTCAAAAAATCCTAGTTTAAAATCTTGTTACAAAAGTACTTATAACACATTCTCATTACAAAACTATAAAATTCTAGTTAAAATCTCCGCTTGAAAAATTTTTAGCTAAAACTTTCTAGTTACGAAATTCCGATTTGTAGCATGGAAGAGAATTATTTTCACACATATAATTAAAAAATTCTCTGATAAAGTCCGGTCAAAAGATAGTATTTCATTTTTCCACGTTTTGTGTAACGCAAAACGTTATGACACATCCTAATGATACCAGCTAATCGCCATTCGAGTTAATCGTACAATGTATTAAAAAATAAAATATATCTTGAACGTGTAATACAAGGTTAACAGATAAGGTAAGGCACTTGATTCTTTATTCTTACAAATATATATTTATACATATCGTAGAATTGATCGTTAAACTTCATTCCAGTTAGCTATTAATCATTAAATTATAATTTATAGTATACAGGGTGTTTCAGATCAAACGCAGGTCCTTGAAGGGGTGGATAGATCTTGATAATGTGAGTAAAAAATGTCCGTGCAAGAAAATTGTGAGGTCAATAGTTTTTGAATAAAATGCATTTGAAGTTAACCAATCATGCGGGGTTCGCATTTCGGGCCATCAGGAGCGGCGCGGCATGAATCATTCTCGTTTGCAATACATTCTGCCACATCAATTACATATCGTTTAGAAATTATTATTAACACTATCATATTAGTAAGCATTAAAATAAAACTCAATTGTTTTAAACAATCGCTTGTGTATAAGAAATAAATTCTTCAGTTACGAACCCAGTGATTGGTTAACTTCAAATGCATTTTATTGAAAAACTATTGACCTCACAATTTTCTTGTACCAACATTTTTTACTCACGTCATCGAGATCTACCCTTCAAGGACCTGCGTTTGATCTGAAACACCCTGTATATTGAATTGGATTTGCGAAACACAAGAAACACACGTGTCCTGTTCAATTTCCTAAAATAAACAAGCAAATTGCATTTTCTTACAATACAAACTATACAACTTATAATACAAAAATCTTTTATTATAATATGAATAACAATCGTTGGAGAAAATTGAAATTATTGGAAAGTATCATGTGTGTCGGCGAATTTATGACTTGCTTCAAATGTGTCCGGAATCTTCCAGTAGGGACTGCAAAAGAAGTGAAAGTTCAGAATACCGTTAATATTCCAGTTAGAATATCGCAGTCCTTTCCTTGTTTTTACTCTCGTACTTACCGCTGTAGAGTCGTTTAAAGACGTTAACATACTTCTGGTAATGAGAACCGTCATACTGCTGTCACGATCTGTCGTGCTGTCGACGATGAAGTCGCGTTTCTTCAGAATTCTCACTTCCCCGAGCGAATAAGAGCACGAACTCGGCATGTACAATTCTCCCTCGGAATAAGACGCCTCGGACGAGGTTTCGATCTGAAAATTAAATAAATTAGCATAACGTGCCCGCAAATTTACGATCGCGAAGTCCTCTTTCTGTCGAAAAATTTCAAACTTCCATCATAAATTATAATAAAATCTAATTATGCGTCATTATTTTCATTCAATAAAGCCTTCAATTAATTTAAGGGAAGTGAATAGGGCATTTTTTCCGGCGAACTTATAATAATTTTGCTGGTAATGTAAATTTACGATTGTTAAACTTTTTTCTACCTAGAAATTCTAATTACACTATAAATTAGAATAAAATCTAATTATGACGAGTGTTGTCATTATTTTCATTTAACAAAGTTCTCCTTTTCATTTTCAGTTCGTAAAATAACGATGTATAATTATAAATATTATGTTAGTAAATTTTTTACTTACTTTCTTTGAATTTGTACTTAAAGCGCCATTGCTGAATCTAGAAATAAAAATACGTACGATGAAGAAATGTTCTAAAACCACTCAATTAAATTGTTAGAAATGTCCTCGTTATATTTACCTATCGTCATGATCGAGAAGTGCACTACTAATGCTAGAATTAGAGCTGGACGGAATATTTATTTTATACTTCCGTAATGCATTCGTCCGATCAATCGGTTGCTTTTCATTATCGCTTTTTGCGCCGTTCAGAAGTCCTCCTTCTTTGTTTCCATTTCTGCGATTCTCGATCGATTTGCCGAAAATATCGTCGCCTCTTACATCCTTTGAATTATTCTCCCCGGCAAAATTAGGAGAAATATGCTTGTTCGTCGACGCGACGTCTTTTAAAGACGATCCGCTATTCTTCAGACTCAATAGCGAAACGTAATCTCGCAAAGAATCAGCCGAGCGACAATCCGCAGGACCAATCTTTTCCTCAAGTTGCCGCGCATTGTTTTCGTGTAAAGATTCGATATTTTCCTGCGCCGTCGAGCACGCGAGACTGGCGTCCTTCTTTGCCGCTACTTTATCCGCGAATTTCGATCCGGCAAAACTCGCTTCTGAGTGAACTCGTTCGTTTTTCGTCTCCGAACCGTTCAGAAATGCGGATTCTTTATCAGCCGACGTGTTATTCTTGTGTCTCGCCTCAACTCGAGTTTCTTTTACGGCGTCGAATGCTTCTCTCGAGATATCCAATCGCGCCAGATCGGCAGTCATTTGCTGTTCATTGTCGCTTCTCACAAGCCCCGAGGTTTTATTTTCGTCTTTGTGACTGTCGGCCGCCGCGACGACACTTTTGTTTTCACGCCGCTCGCCAGCAGTGGAATCTTTATTATCCTGCACACGAGCCGGCTCATTTTCGTGCTTCTCATTGTTTATGTGACCCTCTTCGTTTCCGGATGGCGCGATCGCAGCATCCCGACCGTCAGTTTCCATCCTATCGTCCGATTTTGCAGTCTTCGCGGACAAATTCTGAAGATTCTCGCCGGAGTTTTTATCGTCGTCGCTGCGAATGTCGGAGATCTGCTTCAACGACTCGCTCTCCGAGCACGAGTTTTCCTTCATTTTGCTGTCGCTCTTAGAGCCAGGCGCGGAGTCGCACGCGAAGCGAACGCTTCCCTTCGTTTCTCGCAGCTCGAGCAAACCGGACGTATGTTCGTCGCCATTTTTGAGGTTGCGAGAATTTTCGACGACTCGTTCAATCTCGTCCACCTTAGTTTTCGCTTGTTGCGTGCTTTCCTCTCGCGAGATCAAATCCGCAGTCGTGTTCGGCGGTGCGTTCGCTGCGATCGAAGAAGCAGGAACCTTCTGAGAAGCGGCTTTCTCCTCGTCGTTTGCATCTTCATCACTGACGCCTCGATCGGTCTCTTTTTCGACGTTAATCAGCACATTCTTCAGGATGTCCAAAGTTTCCGTTCGACGCGCGTCGCAGATCGTCTCGGCCTCGCGCAAACGATCGAGCAGTTTCCGTATTGTCGCGGGCTCGATCGCCGACTCCTTCACGGCACTCGTGACTTTCCTTTCGACGCTCTGCTTCTCGTCCTGCAGGAAGTAGGCGACGAACCGATCCGCGGCGTCGTCTTTCAAGCTTCGCGCAATATACGTGAAGATACTGTCGGAATGATGTTCCTTCTGAGGACGATCGAGTTCCGAGAATTTGCACGCGGTCGTCGCACGCGATTTCACATCGCGATGAGTGTCCTGCGTCTCCGTGCGTGTGCTGGATAACGCGGGAACTATGTTGGAGAACGTCGTGACGTCCCATTTATCCAACGATGACGCCGATGAGTGCGCCTCGGACTTTGACTTTTGTGTCTTGTCCCTTTTACGAGGCGTCCTGGAGCCGTTATTCGCGTCTGATGCAGGATACGCACTTGATTCCACCAAGTTTTTCGAGCAGTTGCTAGGACTATCATTGTCCTTCGCGAAACTTGATTTCCTCCCGACAGTGTCCACGGATGTCGCCTGCGGATTTGCGTCCATCTTTTTTCGACGAGTTTCTGATGCGCGCACGAGGTCCTCGTTCTTCGATTCTGTTTCCAAAATCGACGATCGCGCCGGTTCGTTCAATGCGAACGCTATTTTGCTACTGTTATCGTAAAATTCTTCGAAGTTCGCGTTCCGCTCGCCTTCGTCCAATTGGTCCTTCGCGAATTCGAATCTCGACGACAATTCGTCGAAAGTTTTCACTGCGCGCACGGTGCGCTCGATTTTCTTGTCGTTTAATGACAGAATAGAATCCAAGTCCTCAAAATGCGGTCGGTACAGATCGATCTCATTTGGATCGTCTTCCGCCTGAAAATCGTCCGAGCAGCTCGAAGCGAAAGATCGACGTGCCTCGTCGTCGACGTTCTGCAGCTCATCGTGACTGTCGAACGTGTTTGAGAGGTGTTCATCAATAATCGTCCGACGAGGTTGCTGGCTCGTCGTCGCGCGACAAGGCGAGGCGATATTTTCGCAACGCAGAAAACTTGTCCTCCCCGATGCGTCGCCGACGAGCGGCAGCTTTGATCGATCGCTTCGGTTCTCCTCTCGTATCTGCTCGACGTTCCCGTCGCTTCGCAAGCGATTTCGCTTGCCGACGCCGCTCTTCTTATCGAATATCCTTCGATCCTCCGCGTAGCGGCCATTCGTATCGCCGCCGGAAGTGATTTCGGCTTGGTCCTCCTTCCTCGGCTCGCTTCTCAATTTTTCATCGCGTGAATTATCAATCGCGGCGGAACTCATCCCTTCTCGATCTTTCACGCGCTCCGCATGTCCGGATATTCTCGTGCCATCGAGTGCTCGATCACTCTTTTCTCTTGCGTGATCTTTAGCTTGGAACTTTGGACATTCAAGCAGCCCGTTATTTCCAGCATATTCAACTTCGCTTTTCGACTTGCTCGAGGCATCTGTCGCCGTTTTGGTTGCAATTTCAGCAACAACGGGCCTCTCGTGTTGCCGCGGCGTGCCTAATCTCACTCGTAGAGTTTTCAGCGCCTTCGACGCTTCCGGCTCGCTCGCTACATTTTCCGGAATATTCTCGCCGTGATGCACTCTGTAAGTCGCGATGTTCGCACGACTTTGCGCCCAGGACGATTCCGGCGATATATGTACGTCGTCCAAGTTCTGCTTTGTCAGTTCCCGGTCGACGATGTGCACCGACGGCCCCGTCTGAATTCTGCACGCGTTTCCGCGCGCACGAACGAGCTCGCGTTCAATGCTCGCCACCGACGATGCTCGGCGACGATCGCAATCGCCGGGCATCGTCGCGGCGTTCTCGATCGAGTCCTTCGACGGCGCGCCCTCGGCAGGCGGAGCACGTCCGCACGACCGATTGTCGCTTCCGTATCCCAGGGACGACCAATCGGCGTGTCGTCGTCGCGTTGTCCGAAATTTCGGCGCCGACAAATCGGTCCTGCGAACGGTAAGGCGAGCGGACTCCTTCGAATTCACGCTCGTTTTGCCATTCGTCTCCGATCTCGAGGAAGTCGCTTCATCAAACTTGCAGGCCACCAACTCGCGAATGTACAGCAACTCTTCCGATTCGTTGTCCAACGGCAGGTCTGAATATCTAAAAGCACATATAGGGAATAATATATTAATAATAATAATAATATACTAAAAGCGCAAATGATATATTAAAGAATCTTTTAATCTTATTTTTTCAATCAATTATTTTTTCTCAAACCGATTTTCTAGAATATTGATCGACAAATTTAAATAGAATTCAATCTTAACTCACATTATCTAAATTGAGATCAATGAATAATTTTCAAAGTCGAATTTTAGATAGGAATAAGTTATAAAAGTTGTTTGAAGAAAATCGCAAATGCAGAAAAGAGACTCGTAACTTCTAATTATAGGAAGAATCTTAAAATATTCTGAGAATTCTTAGTTATTCTAATCTCTCTCACAAAGTTGGAATTTTAATCTAGGATTATAGAGATTTTCCGCTCACGTATTTCTGCACCGCCGCGCGGAATCGATGCTCGACATTCCACAGACTTCCATGAGTTGTATCTTCGCGTTGTTAATAATTTTCTCGGCGTTTTCGAGCGCAGTTGACGTTTCAGGGCTTAAAATAGTATTGATAGGCTGCTCTTCTACTGACCAATTTGCATTAAGCTGCAAATAAATATATATTTACTTTTTACTTAAAAAACCAAAATAGTTGAATAAATAGAATAAAATAATTATTCGTATTTAATACCATTTTTCCGCCAATAACACTTCTTCTCGGAGATCGCCCACTATTTCCGTAAGTTTCATTCGTGATTACTGATTTTTTGGATGTAATGGTTGCAAGGTGCCCATTTCCATTGTGTACTCTGACATCATTATCTTTCTTACGCAATGTATTATCTTTTTGTTTGCAATAACACATGCGAACGGAAGTCATTTCGTCTGGGGACGTCGCAGAACAAACGTTACACGATTCCGGAGAACTCAAATTTTCCCTGAAACAAACAACAAACAATTTTTGTATTAAAAAAATGAATAAGTAATCGTTTCTTTATTAAAACAACTACTGCTGAAAAATTTGAATTATTTTACTGGTTTTAATGAATCATTTTTCTGTTTTAGTTTTAACAAATTAATCAATTATATTACGTTCGTAAGTCAAAAATATCAGTACGCATATTTTCAATAAAGTATAAATGATATTTGTGGCTTCATCTAGAAATTATTACAGCAATCCGAATTTTTAAGGGGCAGGATATATTTTTTCCACGTGCCGTGTTAACGGAGCGTGCGAGGATAATGCAGTTCTTCTTTTGCGCTTGTCATATACATAATAATGTGTGACGTGTATCATACGATGAAACATTAATAGAGAAATATCTCTACATAGCGAGACCTGACAATGTTCCGTGTGCTTTAAAATATGCATCAATTGGCAAGCTTGGTCGTCGTCCTTGAACACGCACGTGGCACTTTAATCCCAATTATACAGACAAACAACGATGACTGTGATTAAAAAAAATCGCTAATCATCGTGCGCAATCGCGAGCGATACACATATTCGCAGCATCCGCGCAAAGATAAAGCATGAAAGTTTCCGATGATATGTGTAGAACGTAACGCAGTATTGATACTCAATAAACACTAGATAATATTTTTTTATAAGTTAAAAAAATTATTAATTATATAATATTTTTTTTACATTCGATAATTACACTTCTATGCAAAAATTGGAATTACTTCATTGAAATCAATAGAAACACTCATTGAATAAATGTAAAATTAATACAAATATAAAGCAAGCGTAAAGACAATTACTCTCGATTCGAATCGGGTGTCGTGTAGAAGCGCTCTAGCGCGGAGAGAAAGAACGAGACGTTGGCGAAGCCCGCAGTGGCGGGTTCAAGGACCGGCGATAATAAAGCCCTGAATTTCGCTTTAAGGCGAGGGTGGTCGCCCTCCCTCTCGTTCCAGCTCTTTCCCGACCACGACTGAAAATCAAACCATTCCACGCGCGCTACGTACAAGCTACGTCGTCGAACCTTCCGCGGTCCCGGTCGGCTGCACAACCGACGTTTCTATAGGCAATGGTATCGATCCTTAAAGGGGAGAGACGCCAGATTGCGAGTCGGACGCCGCGAGCACTTCCTGTTATCGCTGCTTGTTGTTAAATTAATTGCAATTCGGCTAGACATCCTCGAATACTTTATATTTTTGGAATACCAGATATTTTTGGCTCGATGCAAAGTGTACAGTTTTTTGTTGGTCAAAATATCCAGAATTGTTCGAGCAGCTTGTTGGTTGCTTGAAAAGTTAATTAAAAATGCAAAGTATTTGAAGCAAAAGTTCCGAAACTGGAAATGTAAATTTTGTTATTTTTATTCATTTACAAACCGAAGTCGAACCACGCTCAACATAACATTTTATTCCAGCAATTCGGTTACGTAAAATATAAATTATTCTTAAATAAGAAATTATATCGAGATATATTATAATAAAGTTCAGTAGTTTATTTTTCAGGATCAAGATTTTTTCATTTTATTATTGAAATTGGAAATCCAAAGGTTAAATTTATCGCATAGTGTAAAGAATGCTCATATTTCGCCCAAAAGTTCATTTGTTTACTGATTTTATCACTCGAGAACTATCTTTTCGGCAAAGAGAAATTAATTTCAGAACGAAAGATCTGCTGTAAAGGAAAAGTGATATTATTTTTTTTTTTTTTTCAATAAAACCGTTGCGTTTGACCTGTGTATAACACACCAACGCTTTTTGTCGAGCGATTAACACGGATGACCGTTCTTGCGTCTCCATGCGTCATCGCGCGATGCGCTTCCGAACGCGACGAGCGCATCCATCCGGGGACGAAGTACCGAGTGGCATTTTTTCAAAGGAAATGTCGCGAGGCGGACAAAGGCGAAGTGCGTCGCGGTCCGGCGAGGACGCTAATTTAGCGAAAGGCCGACGGATGTGCGATCGACGCGTCGGAATGACGTCAACGATCCTCCGCTATATCCGAGTGGCACGCCGCTTTAACACGCTCTCTCGCGCGTGATCAATAACAGTACGTCAAAGGTACGTAATGCGACGACGTCCTTTAAAGACGATGGACCGTTTAGTCGCCGTAATGCGTGACGATGAAAGCGCGCCAAAGATTCACGCCTTTTTCGCATTCCGCGACCGCTTCGTCTCGTGTCACCGACCGTACGGCGACGCGTCGTTCGAGAATACGGATTGAGATTCTTATATAAAGATACGTTTCGAGATACAAAAAATCGTGAATTAAAAATATGCATCTATAAATCTTTATTAAATCTTTTAATCCATTCTTCGTGAATTTTTTAATTTAATTTAATATTCCCGCTCTTTCCCGAAGAACACGTTCCGAGAAATAAAAGTGTGAATGCATCTATATATTTTCATTAAATTTTAATTATGACTGTTGGTCAAAAAATTCGAGCAGGTTGTTGGTTGTTCCAAAAATTAATTAACAAATCCAAGGCTGTATTTGAAGCAAAAATTTTAATTTACTTTTTAATAAATTTGTAATTAATAAAGCTTTAACAAATTTTTCAATGGAATTCAATTTTCGCCCTTTCAGTTTTTCGAATAATGATGATTTCCACTTCACTTTATTTTCTTATTATTTATTCACCAATCTGAACCGACACTTTCGTACGAAATTTTCCAGGCCAGTTCGTGACTAAGGATGAATGAAAGAAATTGAAGATACAACGAGCATGCCGATAATTTCCAACAATTTATCGCTGCAGTTCAACTAAATGCGCGTCTCATATCGCGCGCGTATCTCATTTTCAAAGTCACGGCGATTAACACAAAACCGGACGGTGTGCATTGTGCAGCAGGGAGTGGCGATGGGGAGGGGTAGGGGCGGGGGGGAGGGGGGGGTCCGGAGTAGGAGTTGGTAATTTTTATCTCGGCGTGTGGAATCGCGCCTTTGCGATCCCGCCGCCGCCATCGCCTCGGCTTCGCGTTAGTCACCGCGGCTGTAATTTACGCGACGAGCGCTATCGCGTAGCTTTCGTCACCCTGTTACGACGCGGAGGCCGGCCGACGCGAACTATCGGATAATAACGGTCCTCATGCACAGTAACGGTCGGGAATGTTGACCCTTAAAGGCGAAAGATAGTTCCGGCATAGGAAGAACCGGTCGCGAAAAGCCGATTCTTCGTTTTGCGAATTTCGCAATGATCGATGGACGGAAGAGAGAGAGAGAGAGATAGATGCGAAGACTGTTTTGTTTTACAAATTAATACGAGCGATTAATATTTGGTATCTCGTATTTTTCAGAGTTTTAAATATGTTCTTTCGCGCTGTTGAAATGAAATTTTAATTAATTTATTTTTTGAAAGACGATCGTGATATTTTAAAATATATAATAACAACATTGTATCGTATGAAATTTGTTCAATTCTTTTTTTATTTTTAAAAATGATGTATTGTTGAGACAATTATATTTTTGTCATACAAGAAGCACCGAGACAAGCAAAAATCAAAATGTCAGCTGATTGCTACAGATATTCAAGAGGGATGTTTGCACACCACAAAACGTTTGATGATATATTTGCATTTTTAGGTAAAAAAATATAAAAGACAATATGAACTAAAAATCTATATAATTTTAGAAGACGTTCGCATTCAAAAGAATTTTACACGCTGCAGCAAAAAGAGAATGTACTCGAATTCAACCTAAAAAATGCTTTTACATTCATCTGATACAATGTTTGTGATAGAAAATCTCCAACGTTATCAGATATCTTGTTGTCGTCTATTGTAGAGCATTAAAAAAATAAAAGAAATATACTGTAATATATCGCCGATGCATAACGGAACAACGATATCGTGTGAAGAATACATTTGATATCAAAGATACAAAGTCAGGTGAGAAATGAATTGTTGGAAATTTATTTTTAAATTGCATTTTCCGCAAAAAAATAGAAGGTAAAGTTTACATAATTCTTACCTGTCTATTATTATTTACTCTATCGTTTTATTCCGTATTATTTTCCACTTAATAGAACATATGAAATATTAAAAGTATTGTAGCTAAAATAATTTTTTCCGCGCGACGAAAATTATTAAACACAGAACCAAGAGTGTTCTGGAAAAATTGAATGCCCTGTTTCTTCTGATTAACCCAATTCCGCGGAGAACAATTTCACGTAATCGCGTCTCATCTAGAAAGAGAGAGAGAGAGAGAGAGAGAGAGAGAGAAAGAGAAAATCGATTGTATTTGTCGGTCCATCCATCGCGTTGCATATCGAGAACGTTGAATAATTTATGGCTCATCCGCTTTAAGCGCGCGGGAGTTATCGCGCACGCTACATAGCGGCGGATGGTGCCGCTCGAGCTGTCTGGAACGTGCACAGATCAATATTCCGCCACGTTGCGTTTCCCTCGTCTCCTACCGCCCGCGAAAACCCTCCCGTACCCTCCGCGCTGGCCCATCTACCCCAGCTGAATATTGGCATTGATTTTCACGGTTTCGGGCGGGCTGGCCGCCCTCTGTGGACTTGCGGACCCCGGGCGCGGAACACTCCGGCGTCTAAGGTCGCCCTGTACGTGTGCACATCTCGGTGATAGCAGATTTTCGCGATAAACGTCTAAGGTCGCATGTATAACAGGTTGCGCGAGAAATGAGAGGATTTGAAAATGTTGTCGTTTCATTCTTCCTTCGAAGCTTCCACCGCATTTGTCAATTTTTTTTATATATATTGCAAATATTGACTAACGAGATTGTTTTTGATTCCGGCGAATTGAATGTTAAAACTATCCGTGCCGATAAAAAGTTATCCAGCACGGAAATTGCCGCGATAGCTCAGAATCGACGCATGTCAATGTCGTGAAATTTCAGCGCTTTTTTTCCGCCAGACACGGTGTGCTTTGCGAAAGCTCTGTGCGAAATAAAAAATTAAAAATGATATAGGTTTTTTTGAGCAATCCGTACACAAAAAGCTTTTGTCGATAGCGGATTGTTGCTTTTACGCTTTTATCGCTAGGTAAAAATTGTTAAATAAATGGATAGGGCGTAATAATAGAGTAACTCGATGGAAATTTCAAGGATGGGTTCGTGATTTTGCGGAATAAAAAACTCACAACTCTTGTCACATCAACACATATATTTTGTTTTTTTGCTTGTTTGCATACATACGATAAACAGTACAATGTTACGCGTTCCTCGAGGTATGGTATACTAGAAAATTTTCATTATCCACTACTACAATCGCTATTCGACGTATTTTACTTCGTCATATTCTCTTCGATTTCGTGTAATCTGCATAGCTCTATACGAGAATCTTTAAAAAAAAGACATAAAGAAAAGGATGTGAGAAGAGAGACAAACGGAACGAATTACGACGCAAACGTGAGAGTTTCCTCGTTTCCTTCGCTTTCGACTGGAAAACTATTGCGCGTCCCTCGGTGCGCGCCTCATTTGAGAAAGAAAACCCGAGAGTGCGGCTTGGAGGGCTTGGTCGCCGAGAACCGAAATCGGACGAACGCCAAAGCAACAAGAAAGATATTTCACGCCGGGCTCTTCAATTTTCTTCATCCCCGATCAACAACAACAGAGACAGACGGAGAATTGCATCAAAGCAATCTCGCTACAGATTCACAGTTCGTAAACAATTTGTACCGCTACAAACTTACAAATAGAGTGCGACAGGGTCGAACAAGTACGAAATTATAATGCAAGGAGAATCCTTCCCCGAAATTGTCCAACTTCGCGAAGGATCATACAAGAACTATTAACAACGAATGTCTATACCGAGAGCGCGACCGACCGGAAGACAATACGCGACGACCAAGCCTCTCGTCGAGAGACAGAGAGAGAGAGAGAGATAGAGTGTAAGGTTCTCTCGTTTCTTCCGGTACAGAGTTTCGGGTTTACAGATTTACAGCACGCTAAAAGGAGCGCGACGGAAAACAAGTGTCTCGTGTCTGCGTGAAAAAGGCGCGAGGCCGCCGTCGAGCCCCGATCGAAATTCACCCTTCCGGAACTCGACGGCAAGCGCCGCGTGTAGCTGTAATAAGTATTGCTATCAAACGCACCCTTTCGGCGTCTAAACGTCGTCGCCGTCGCCGTCGCCGCCGGCTTTCGCGCGACGCGCCGCCAAAGTGCGCCCGGGCTTTCGTAACGTTACCGCGCACATCGTGATGCGAATATAAAAGGGAAATTACAGCGGTATTCTAGAGAAGTTCTAAACAATAAGAATTGCATTGTTTTATCGATAAAAGTTAAGAAACAAGACATTTATCTTAAATTTGCGAAATTTAGACGCTCGTTTGTGAATTGTTATATATACATATATCTATCTAATTGTGCCGAACACAAAAAGAGTATATTTCTTACTTTAGGAAATAATTTTTTTTATATATACATGTTCGAATGCATGCACAAATAAGTAATTAAAACATACATAACAATTTCCAAGTAATCGCTCTTTTTCAACTTTTGTCGATTTCACGAGCAAGATTTGCCACATACAACTGCAATTTTTTTTTTTTCCTTCACCTTTCAGCTTCACGCATTGTGACCAAGAATCACGAAAATGCATATTCGTAACACCGAATGGCGGTAACGTTGGCAAGCGTTTGAACGCGCGTTTCGGCGCGCGGCGCGAGCAGCCGCGCGAGACCGACGCCGCGAAGCAACACCGATCGCCGCTAAATCGAGGGAGCGTGCCGTCGACGAGAAAGCGGTATCTCGAACCTCGGCGGAGTCCGTCCGGAATACGACGAGGCGCGAATAATGTCTCTTCTACCTTTCCTCCCTCCCCCTCCCCCCCCTCTTCTACTTTTTATTCCCTGAATACTTCGTTCCCCCGCGACAACTTCCGACAACCGCTCCCTTTTCGCTGTGTACCGATCGTGTTTTGTACAAATATATACAAAAGGGGCTGCTGTTCGCGTCCGAGAGCGCGGTCCCCCGCCCCTTTCCGCGAAAGGGATCTCGCTCGGATCCACGATCGCGCGCGGAAAAGGAAATCCCGCTCGGGCGCGTCCAGCGAGAATGACTCTGCTTGCCTTTTTTTTCCTTCACTTTTTTTTTTTTATCCTT